CTGCTCCTTGTTAGCTCCTCGTTAGCTCCTTCACACCTTGTTAGCTCCTTCATAAGCCGTCTAAGGTCAAGGTCAAATTAATTAACCCGGTTGCAGATAATCGGCTGGATCGATGTTTGCTTTGTTTCCGACGGTTCAGCTACACCGACAGCGCAATCTGGTACCCTTCTGCCGCCACCAGTCATAGTCAAACCCTTCCTTCCTACCCCACCGCCAGTCATGGGGCCGTCGATTTGTGTAAAACTGATAAACGGCTTCCGCCGCGCCCCGCCACTTGCTGCCATAGGCCCGGACCCCCGGGGTACGGGCGGCATGCGCTGGGATGTATTTCAAGACATCACTTAACCATTGTTACAGACAATCGCTTCAAACTTGGTAGAGGCAGCATCCTTCATAGCGAAATCGTATTTTAGAACATCGACTTTCCTACTTTCATAATCTAATGTCTAATAGATAAGACAGTAGTGTAAGCCTTATTCCTAAAAAAAAACAACAAAAAACAGGAGAATGGTGATATAGTTAGGTTGATATTTCGGCAACATGCTTTTATCGAAACAATAGCAACAATGAGTTTACTTTTTTAGGAACAATTTTCCATTTTTAACACCATCATTTTCAAACTTTCACTACTCACTTCTGCTATTGGTTCGATAAAGGCATGTTGCCGACATATCAACTTAACTGTATCTCCATTCTCCTGTTTTTTCCGAGGAATAAGGCTAGTGCTACTGTCTCATCTATGTGAATAATGTTCCTCGCCAATGCACTGAACAGTTTACGTAATTTTAACGTCAAAGACCCAAAACTGTAGGGTGTACTTGTTATCAATATTTCTCTTGTTTGATATGCCAATGTTTCAAGGTGCAATATTGGAACAACAAAACGACATCACCCACGAAACATTTACTGATGAGATCACGTTTCCCGTTTATGTGTTAATTTGTCTACCGCTATGCGCTTTTCCAAAAAATCGACAAACATGACGTTACTCTGGCATTACTCACGCTTGATCTGTCATGATCTAATGGTTGATGCATTGATGTATGACGTCAAACTCATCGATTAATAGCTGCTCCAAATTTCTCCGCGATATATTGAGATGTTTTTGAGTTATCACGAATATTTGACAGGGGAGGGGGGCAAATGTCACCTATCTGCCCATGCCGGGCTGACATCCATACCCCTCCAGTTTCTGAGCTGCACACCCACAAAGATGTGCGGACTATTTCAAGGTCAACAAGGTATCCATGACGCCATAATTACGTCGTTCAAATCCTGCCATTCCATCGGCCATGCGACAATCAAGTCAGGGGAAAATAAAATTGACAGACCGTTCACAGCTGGCGTTCGTGAGGACAATTTCCGGACAAAAGACGTCAATCGGCTGTCAGTTAACATGCGCCCGGGTGGCCAGCTTGATACCCTTCGCTCGGGTGCAGAGTCAATTTGACCCCCGCTGAGTGTCTGTACTTGTACTCACCCAGGTCAAAGTTTGAGGTTCCCAGGTCATAACGTTTGGATCAAATGAGGTCAAACAAGGTCAATATCTAGGTTAGTCTCCAAAGTGCCCGCGGCACCTAGCTAACTGCTCTAAGGAAAAAAAACACAATCATTCGGGGTCAGTGACCTAGTTTGACCTTTCAAAGGTCATGTTGACCAAGATCACACAAGACTGCTTTGAGTTTTGCATTTGAATAAACGACAAAGATGTCTGAGCTGAGGTCAATGAAATTCCATTATTCCATTATCCCATTCCATTATTGTGTTGCCTAAGAAAGTATCTCAGAGATGTATGGCTTCGTCCAACACTCCATCGTTGCATCAGATTGAACGATTCCCTGGAAACTGACTTCGCTGAATCTATGGCCTGACTTTGGCCAGCCGTCGATCAGCGACCTTACAAGGCACATCTAATTTGTTGTGCCAAACCATCCGCTACTCAATTTTCTACAGGCATGCAAAATGTGACGCCACCCCGCCGCGCCGTTCAGAAACCATTCCGGAAAAGCCTTTGGAAGAAAAGGGGGTCATTTGACCCCCGGCCGGGCGCGTGCTCAGCGGCAATACCTTCCCTAGGAGAGCATGTTCAGCCTCCATCATGCCACACCAACCTGCGATAGGAATGCTTTGCGATGGCGGCAGGTTTTCCGTCATGGCCATCAGGAAAACCATCATGGCCAGCATAGCACTGATACCCAGGCTGACTTTCTCCCCCGACTCGCAGGGCAGCATAAACACCATCAGTGCTGTGGAACATCACTCCGTCACTGCACATATCATCAACACCGCACCCGCCGAACCAATGAAAAAGCGTTTATAAAATTGACAATCCATAGATTGCACAAAACATATTCCGGCGCATGGTAGAATCTGACTGGTCTGAAAATGCCTGCTTGAAATGGCAGGATTGCGGAAAATAACATGCTACACACATGTCACCTGCGTACTATGTATACACATTTCGTGAAGCGTTAAAAATCGTGTACTTATCTTGTTGGTGAAAACTAATGTCTTACCCGTTAAATTGACGAATATTCCTGGCATTATGAAAAAGAACATCGTAAACGCGGTTCTTCTCTGAAGCTGCACGTAATATCTGAGGGCTGATTGGGTTTGTGGTCAAACATTATACTGTCACAGTGGTTATTCAGACTAAATTTATGAATGCTGATGAATGCCACGAGCGAACACAAGCCAATTCAATATGTGAGAAATTTACACATATGCTTGCTTGCCAACGACGCATGCGAGAACATCAAAAACACAATTAGACTACCACGGTAATCGGAGGTGTACCACCGTCCAGAAGGTTGGAATGGCAGTAAGTGGAAGAAACATGTAATATAAAGGCTTAAGCTGCATGTGGATGAAAAAGCAGCTACCTCACCAAAGCACTGCAAAGATAACGCATTGTAAGCAAACGCAGCAGGTGGACATCATTTTGAGGTAAAAAGAGGGACATGTCGCCTCCCCCAAAGGAAAAAAAAACATGGGGACTCAAGGGGAGGGCACAAATATGAAGAACATATTCTAGACCTTGAAAAAAGTTCATGGCGATGCTTGACAGGCCAAAAACACAAAATACAGCATGGCTCATATCACAAACATAAAAAACAAACAATAAAATACAGCACGGCTCATATATATTATCAACATAAAATACAAACAATAAATTACAGCAAAGCTCTTATCATAAACATAAAATACAGACCATAAAATACAGCATGGCTCCCTAGGAAACGCTGGCAAATATCCACGGCAAAAGTGCTAAGTCACTATCGCTGGAAATACCACGCCAGTACACTCCAAACGCAATTGAAAAGGTCCTGAAGTGTGCAATGATTAACAAGACGCTGCTTTTCATTAAAAGCTGTTTTGCTGAAGACAATGCCAGGCAAATAGTAATACCATATACCAATAGTAAAAATAGTAATCCACCATAGTAATAATAATGATCGCTCACGCCACGTGAACATTAGTTGCATAAGGTATGGTGCAATCAGGCCTGTACATGCATCTGTATGCATTGCAACGACCAAATGGCCTCGTTCAGCTCAACAACAATGAAAATGAACGCTACTCCCTAAACAAACACGACCGGTTGGAAAAGGAAACAAGGACGTCTTAAACAGTGGCGCTGCCAAGCGAGCTTTTGAAGGGTTTTTAGACCCCCCCCCTCCGGTCAAGAGCGAGCGTAATTTGTCACTTTGACACTATTGAATGTAATTCTGTACGCTGGTGATCAGTTAACTTATTTTGGCTTAAAACCTAATGCGCTGTTATAAGCGGTGACACAACCATAGTTCAGAGATTAGGTAATCGGATAACCGCGTGGATATGTACCGCAGGCAGCTGAGAAAGCCGTTTCGGCGCCAGACAAAGCCACCATTGATTGCCCATTGATCATAGACACTTTACCTGTGAGGCGTCTTTAGTCTGTTCGCGGTGCCTACGAACCATGAATAGGGCTTGCCCCCCCCCCCATCCCGAAAAATGCTCCGTTACATACCCTGCAGTCCCTCCCGTCACAAATCCCGACAAAATTCTGGATAAATCCTCGTCCTACATCAACGAAGCTTAGCAATGCTCCCAAAAGCTCGAATCCACGTCCAGCCGGCGGGACGCTGTGGATAGGTGGCACTGGATTTGATGACTTGGCTAGGTGTTCTCACAACCACGATCACGCAGAGATGCGCGTCGATTGGCTTGTTTGTAGAGGATGAAATTGGTGGGCATGCCGAGGAACACTCCCTCGTCGTACATCGCTTTTGCTAAACATGCTTCTGTACATTGCGCTTTGCCTGTCTCGATGCAAAACACTTAACACCACTTTGATTTCCATCAAGTGATATATTCAACATGCAATGGATTATGTCCTACAATAGTCTTTCATAATATTTTGTCCGGAACAAGGCAAAATTCTTAATCTCATAACTGTTCAGAACCAATAATATAATCTTGATTTTGTCAACTCGACGTTTTTTAAGCTGCCCTTGCACTCACGCTACGGGTTAACTTTTTCCACATTTTTGTCCTGCTGCAGCGCTGCAATGCAGTTATTCCATAACACTAATGCTAATGTCAAATCTATTTTTATTAGCGCCGCCAATCTGCGGCAGCTTTCTAAGCATATATAGCAAATATGGCATCCTGGTGGGCTCCATTCCTTTCATTGCGTCTTATTCATTGACACTCCCTTTCATTTGCACGAGCCGTTGGCGCCGTTTCACGTCTTACTGACCCATTAACTCTGAAATCTCATCCACTGCCATCATCATTATGGTCAACGACACTGTTACTTGAAAACGGTCGATCACAACATACATATGGCATATATCGAAGATGTTCTTACTTGAAAATGGTTGATCGCAACACGCATCTGTTGTGTTCAGGCCATCCACGTAAAAATTTTCCAGGAAAAACTCGGGGTTCTCAACGTAGGCGCTGATGTCGCCCTGAGCTGGGCCGGTCACCAATGCGATCTGGGAGCAGGACAAGCTCCGATCGGTGGAGGGGAAACGACTATGACGTCTCCATTACACATTCTAGGCTCGCGATTGCAAGGTCTCCAGTATGGGTCGATAGAAAGGTAGGCGACTTGGAGACACCATAAGTCACTCTGCTTAGAGACTGCGACGCGAACAACATAACGTATCACGGTAAAGTAGCACAGAAGGGCGAGCGTAATTCCCGCCTCGCCGTAAATCGATCTACACAAATCCTACCCTGACTGATGCTTTGTTTCGTGTTCCCAACTGATAACGTCGGCAGCGCTGGCGAGATATACTGACCTGGGTGATGTCCTGCGACCAGCTGGAGAAGCTCATGACGCAGAGCTGCTGATCGAACGGGTAGTAGCGGATGTTGATCTCGCAGGAGGAGCGCAGGATGGCGTGCGACAGCATAGTCACCTCCCCGGACGACTTCACGATCGCCAGCGTGTTGTAGATGGCCCATTCGTAAGCCGAGTCGGCGCTATATGACGTCACACGGTCACCACGTGGTCGCCTCCCCGGACGACTTCACGATCGCCAGCGTATTGTAGGTGGCCCATTTGTAAGTCGAGTCGGCGCTATATGACGTCACACGGTCACCACCGTTGGATCACATAATTTTTCACGGTTATGGCGACCGTTTTTACGGACACTTCGGTGTTCCGACTTCTACAGCAAAGACCGCCAACGGCAGAACTGCTATGAAACAGCTTCTGCGTGACATAACATCCGTGGTCTTAACTGTTACGGACAACACAACCACAGGACAAAACTTCTGCCGGCATCACACAGTGTGCAGAGCTTTTACAGACCAAGTTCGTTACGACTCGGCTGCCTCGGTCAAAAACTCGATGTTGTACCTCCGCTGAGCATCAAAACCGCTACCGGCACCACTATTATGGCCAAAACCACGTCGTAACCATTCTTGTAATTAACATTGCCAGTATTATTATATTACCACTGGTCATTACAAAACAGACGCCATTTCCAGTATTGATCCTAGGAAAACATAGTGACATGCACAAAGATAATGGTGCCTAAAAAGATAGGATGAAACCGGAAGAGTGCTTTAGTTCGACTGAGCCAGTGTTGTTGTCAGAAGCAGCCAAAATCTGAATGAGTCAAAGTGGGGTTGATTGCACTGAATGCTCAGTAAATGGAAATAAGTGGTGCGATTAAACTTACGTGAAGTCGACTCTAAAATTGTGCAAAATTGCATTGCGTCATCTAATTCAACTCATTTGAGGACATATGAAACAGGGTCTAGATCTAGCTACAGCTGGTACGTCAGCTGGAGGCAAAATAAGGATAAACTCGGTTCACTGTGAGTTAGGTTAAGTAACAGATAAGATGAGACAAGGTAAAGCTACGTGACGTGAGGTGACGCTAGCTTCACGTTGGGCTACGTTGGGTGAAGGCTAGGCATAGATTATGTTAGGTTACGTTAAGCTAGGTAAAGTTTAGTTAGTCTAATACTTAAGTTAACTTAACTGGCTTTAAGCTAATTCAATTAAGTTTTAGCCCGGGCTAACAAATGGGCCTAAAGTAAGTTAGGCCAAGTCGAATAAGAGTTTTGCATATCATTCCCCGCGTAAAGACATTGACTGTGGACGTTTCGTCTGTGGAGGTGATGTTGCGCGAAAGTATGTGTCCGTAACAGTTTTGTCGCGTACACGTAAGGGTACATGGTTTATACGAAGCAATCGTCTTGTGCAAGAGTTTTCTTGCATTAAATTGTCGTGCCACATACTTTGACCGGAGGCATTTTGTATGTAACAGAGCTGCCACGTGGAACGTTTGCCCACAGAAGGATTTTCTCTCAACTGTAGTCCCATGTTTTTGTTTTTGTTTTGTAACAGCCGTGTCATGACATCTGCGTCCGTGGCGGTGAAGCGCTTAATAATTTTCAGATACAATTATGCAAGTTACCAAAGTCCTCTCAACAGCAGAATCACGTCTGTCAGTAGGATTGGTTCACACAATTTCATCTTGCACATAAAGTAACTTTGATAAGGACTGAAGCCCGTTTGCACCAAACGATTCGCTGAAATCGATTTAGAGGCGAATGAAACCGATTACATCGATTTAGACGCGAATACCATCACAACCGATCGAAACACGACTGAAAACGGCTGTAGGCCTTGCTGCTTGAACTGATATCTTGCCAGAACAATTCTCTATACTACGGAATTATTTTGTTAGGGCCTGCAACCTGTTAATCAAATGAAACTGGGGGTTTACTGGGTTACACAACATCGCATCATGGCCGCTCGTGGTGAACAATTCAATGGCAGAGTTATAAAGTTATGCAAAGTACGTAAGCCCGTGTGGTTGCCGCCATACGAGTACGGGATTCCCAATCCATACATCCACTTGGCGATGTATTTAGAACCCAACGCGTCCGCCACTCATTCAGCTACAGGGCCTTTCCAAAGAATATAAAAAACTGGCACAGGTATGCTGATATTATGACCATGTCAATGGCTAGATACGTGCTCATAGCATATTAGTAAAACGCGATAGCCCGTTTACACACCAAGTAGGATTTGAAGCCTCACCTATTGTAAAGAACGACGTCTGGTGTCCAAATATCCTTCCAGGGTACGCGGATATCCTGGATGCCCGCATAGTTATCCGGGTTCCAGAACAGGAATGAATCGTTCCACTTCATAATAATCTCTGCATTCACCGTCATCACCTGATTCTTCTCATTCTGTAGGAGTCGTAAAAAGAGTAAGCCCCTATTACTGGATCCATTGCTGTCGGTAACATGCTTGCAGTTCCCATACTCATTCAAGCATCAGCATGCGGCCATTCTTAGCAACTCTAGCAGTGAAATGTCGTAAAGCAATCTTGGAAAGTGCAGGCATATACGTACGATAGTACTACATCTCCCCTTTCTAAACCACCGAAAAATTACACGCAATAATTCTTTACCAGTCTCTTCTCTGCTCAATTCCCCGTATCATTTGGCAAAACTATACCCCTGCCGCTATAAAAGGGTGTGGGTGTACGGGTGTGGGACACCTCATCCTCTCCGCCCTCTCTCTTATCATTAGAAATGTCGTATGTTTCACACCTCGTCACTTCACAAACAAGTATGCCGTCCGCCAGACAGTTCGCAGACGCAGGTACCAGGCATACTTTGACCTCATTTGGACCGATGTTCTGAGCTTCTGAATCATCTAAAAATAACTCGTGTAAAAATATAAGTCGCTTGTGAGTTTACTGCACCCAGTTTTCCACCCTCGTTATAGCACACCGGGTGTGCAGTGTTCTCCTCCGCCCCCCCCCCCCCCCCCTCTTGCGGGAGGCGACGAAGTGAGCAAAGCATGTGACGTTCAATTTGAAAAATAACCACTAACAAGTCAAGCATGGTTGACTTTATTTCATGCTAAGGTTTTAGCATATGCAAATTTATCACTACATGTCGAAGTATTTTAAATGTACCATATTTACAAAATTGACAGTTTGGTGTTGTAGCAATCACCAACGAAGCTTTTTGCTCGCTGCGCACTAGATGGGGACGCACCTATGCCGCTGTTCCCGAAATAATTACTTTATTTCAATGACGCAATATTCTCTCCCTCGTGAATGACAACATGCCATGTTTATGAAAGAAAGTTCAATGAAATAAATGCTGGGTAGAAGTCCCATGCTGTGGTTTGAACGGTCAGTCGATACGCCAAAAGAAGCGACTCAAGCTCATCGGGTTGTGCCTTCGTCAGCATTGTGGTCAACTTTAGAATGTCTCCAGCGTAGGCATGCTTGCCCAATGGGTATCAAGTACCGGCGCAATATGCTGATTACATCGTTTGGGCTCGTTTCGTCCAAACCGACATGACCCGATTTGGTACTTAGACAGTATACACATATTGCGGGAATTTAGCCAACGCATTCAGCGTTTAGATATGATGTTCGTGTTCTCCATGCAACAGTCGCTCTGCCTAGCTCGAGGCCCCGCTTGACGGTGTGGTGAGTCGACGATAGGATGAAGGGATGATTGGCTTTGTCAAACCATAAATCATTTAGTTCATTCGCGATTAACACAGCGCCTCGTTTATACAGATGTCCCATAAATCCCCTGCTCACAGTTTTCTTAAGTGTTTTGTATGCATGGTAATGGCAGACATAAACCTCGCATTTCAGAGAAGAAAGAACTTATTTATTTAAGACAAACATACCACACATATGACAGAGAGGACATTCTGTTTGAGACACCAAGTGGCATGGGTGCATCCTACATTAAAGTTACTAGGTTCCATGTCGGTTTTGGTGTCACCTGATATAGCAAAGCACAACAATATCGGTTGGATGGCAGTGCATTCCTCTCAGAAGTGACTAGGGTTCGGACCTCACCAACTTCACTGGTGGTTATAACTACACAAACCGTTTGAACGACATCACGGGGTTACGTTCGACTCCAAACCAGGAAACCACTGATATGACCCCTTGACAATGCTTCGCAAGCAGTACGAGGCATACGATTTCATTAGCTATACTGAGGCTTGCGCTACAGAAACCAGAAGACTACGTTCCCTACAATCCTGACCAGGCCACAGAGGATACATTATTTCATCGTTCATTTTGGAACTTGCACTAAAAACTTGCTAATTGGACGCAAGCAGACGGTTACCTTGCAAAGATTTCTGAGTCTTGCCGAGGGCATCATTGTGGGGGGCATCATTGTGAGAGGCAGCAGCACTTGGAACAATATGGCACGCTTGTTTACATATAATCACCGTTTGGCTCTTGTTGTTTGGATTGGATTGGCAATTGCCCGGTTAGATCCCTTTGCTATCACCGCCCTTGAGTACAGACCGTTAAGGCCGAAGACGGAGAGCAAATGTCCAACGTTTCAATATTGCGGGACTTGGTTCTACGGAATTACCATTTTCGACTCGTTTCTAGCCAAACTGCAAAACCTTATTAGAAGGCCCAATGCCATGACGTTGCGGAGGCGACATCAGTGTACTACTCAATGAGCAAGAAGGAATTAATATAGGCCTCGTGCCTTTTCTCAATTTATGATGTTTGAGCTACACATGTCAGATGCATGCGAATTACCACATGTTGTTATTGCAGTGCCGGAGACGTCAATCCTGTGACGTAAGCCAAACAATTAAGTCCGGCCAATCAATGCGTCGATCACTGATGATAGCCAAATTGCACCGCTCAATACCCCAAACGATAAACCAAACGTTGCATCTTAAACGTATCTCGCGGCATCTGCCACAAAAACGGCTGTCGTGAGATAACTTAGTAGTCAGGATGGATCCTTAGAATGAAATGGATAGGATCGTGAAAGCTTCAAGCGACACGGACAGGATTAGATTAGTCAGGGATGTCGCGGCTGTTTGCCGCCTTTATGGCGGTGTCGAGCTCATTACCCAGCAGTACCGGGTACGGGTCACGACGCGGGCAAGTTACGGTGTCGAGCTCATTACCCAGCAGTACCGGGTACGGGTCACGACGCGGGCAAGTTACGGTGTCGAGCTCATACCCAGCAGTACCGGGTACGGGTCACGACGCGGGCAAGTACGGTGTCGAGCTCATTACCCAGCAGTACCGGGTACGGGTCACGACGCGGGCAAGTTATGGTGTCGAGCTCATTACCCAGCAAGTACCGGGTACGGGTCACGACGCGGGCAAGTTACGGTGTCGAGCTCATTACCCAGCAGTACCGGGTACGGGTCACGACGCGGGCAAGTTACGGTGTCGAGCTCATTACCCAGCAGTACCGGGTACGGGTCACGACGCGGGCAAGTTATGGTGTCGAGCTCATTACCCAGCAGTACCGGGTACGGGTCACGACGCGGGCAAGTTACGGTGTCGAGCTCATTACCCAGCAGTACCGGGTACGGGTCACGACGCGGGCAAGTTACGGTGTCGAGCTCATTACCCAGCAGTACCGGGTACGGGTCACGACGCGGGCAAGTTACTGCCTGGTGAAAAGGCGCGGCCACAATTTCCGCTGTATAGGAACGGCGCAAATCGAGTAGTGAATTCGTGGTGCACACAGCCCGTTTCACTTACCGAGCACTCTGAGCTCAAATCCATCAAAACATATCACTTGGCACATACTTTTAATTCGTCTGAACGAGGCAGGGGATTTTCGATAATTCAAATGGCAGACATTTGTACAGTTTGGATGAGTGCCATGTACATGTACTGGGAAGATTTTGTTAGAGATTTTCACCTATCTTATGATGACTGTTGCGCTTACATTAAAAAAACACTATGTTCAACCCAGTGAAAAAATAGACGTGGAAAACAAAATAAAAAATCATTGCAGCTGCCTACGAAAATAAAACAGGCGAGCTCACGGCAGCTATTAAACGCTGACCAAATGCACATGTTTAAATGGCGCGAGGAGCTACGACTCCTCCGGCAAGATCAGGCCGGTCTCACCAGACCAGATCGGTCCGTGCACTGGTCGGTCCGTGCACTGTCCGGGTCAGCGACGGCACACCTGCTGGGCAGGGGTGAGAGGCCGGTCCTCACCAGGTCGATCAGGTTGTAAATGGAGACCTCGAACTCGACGGTGGTGGGCGTAGTGTGGCTGGCGATCGGCCGGATCGAGGTTGAGTAGTTGGCGAAGAGGTAGCGGTGCAGCTCGTACTGTGGCGTCTCGATGGAAATGCCTCCTGTCGGCCAGGTACGGCCAGACACATCACGGACAGACACAACACGCCCAGACACATCACGGACAGACACGACGTAGCTAGGAACGTTACGATCAGGCACGGTCGGACAGGTCACGGTCAAACACGTCTCAACCAGACAAGGTCAGGAACGTTGCGGTCAAACACGTCAGTCAGACAAGGTCAGACACGTCACGGTCGAACACGTCACGGCCAAACAAGGTCAGACTCGTTAAGGCCGGACGTGTCCTGTCCAGATACGGTCGGACAGGTCGCGGCCAGCCGTGTTCTGTCCAGACCCGACTCCACATATCAGGGCTGGGCAAGGCTGGAGATGGCCGACATGACGCGGCCGTCAGACGGGCGTAGCTCGACACGCCGGCCACGTACTCTGGGACCAGACATCGGCCTGCACGACTGGACTGGACCTGGGCCCTGCCGGACATGACCAGAACTGCCACAGACTGGACTGGACCTGGACCCTGCCGGCAATGGACTAGAACTGCCATGGACTGGACTGAACCTGGGTCCCGCCGGACATGGACCAGAACCGCCATGGTCTGGACTGAACCTGGGTCCCGCCGGACATGGACCAGAACTGCCACAGACTGGACTGGACCTGGACCCTGCCGGCAATGGACTAGAACTGCCATGGACTGGACTGAACCTGGGTCCCGCCGGACATGGACCAGAACCGCCATGGACTGGACTGAACCTGGGTCCCGCCGGACATGGACCAGAACTGCCATAGACTGGACTGGACCTGGACCCTGACGGCATTGGACCAGAACCGCCACGGACTGGACTGAACCTGGGCCCCGCCGGACATGGACCAGAACCGCCATGGACTGGACTGAACCTGGGCCCCGCCGGACATGGACCAAAACTGCCATAGACTGGACTGGACCTGGACCCTGACGGCATTGGACCAGAACTGACATGGCCTGGTCTGGACCTGGGCCCTGCCGGACATGACCAGAACTGCGATGGACTGGACTGGACCTGGGTCCTGCCGGACATGTACCAGAACTGTCATGGACCGGACGAATCATGAGCCAGGCTGCAGACAAGGACTGGACTGAACCTGAGCTGAACTGGACATAGCCCGGTCCGACCATGGACCAGATTGCACTTGGACAGAGCTGGATCGGACTTGATACGTGACGATACACAACGTAATAGTGCGCGGGAATACGCTGAATGGTTAAAAATCATTCATAAAAGTATTCAAATAAAATATACATAAAAGTATTCAAAAGCCATTAATTTTGGGTATGACCTGGAAGCTTTGCTCGGGACGACATGTTTGGGTACACACTGCAACAAACTAATTGGAAATTCTTGAGTTGTTTTTTTGGACATGCCGGCAAAACATTCCCTTTTCTTTACAAAATGCACTTTTCTCATGATGCCTTACCAAACAATAACAATTGCGCTACTCGAATGGGACCGCTATAGACCATTGGAGCATTTTTTGATTTTTTGTGGGTTGGGGAGAGAGACCACCAAAATAAATGCGCAGCCATGGAGTTGCTGCCATGTACGAACTTTTCATTGCGACCTAAAATATGTATTTTCCGGTCATGTTAGGTTAATAAACTTCTTGGAGGCCTTTTACCCGAGGCTTCAAGTCAAGGGAAGTCGAAATAACATATCGTTCAAAGCAGGAGCAAGCGATGCGTTTTAGCACATTTATTCGTTGTTCTTCTGAGCCTTTCCACCTGACGGTGATTCCAAGACCAGCAGGTAATATGTTCTGCATTGTCAACTTTAAGACCTCACTCTGACCATAATCGCCAGATATCTCACGAGAGACTGGCAACACAACGTTAAAGTTCTTCAAGACAGCGTGGACCACCTTAACAAAACTGAATGTTGTTACTATATCTGACACCTCCTTGCAACATCGTGTTTTAGTACCTGCTGGTATATGTAACGGTGATAATTGTTGGGAAAAAGATCTCCCTACTCAAAATGCAAAAAATGTGGAACCTAAGGCGCCTCTTGTTTCCATCAGGTAATGCATTCAGTTCATTACACGGCTCATCGACTTCTGTGTAAGTTTCACAAAGGCTTCTAATTTCATATGCTCTTCAGTGACAATCGTCGGTTCAATTCGTTGTTCACCTGACGTGTGTTTACCCGGTCATGTTCTAATCACAAAACTTATCATAGGTGACTGAGCTACGTGACTTTGAAACGGCCTGCCATGGATTCAGAAGTCTCGTTAATACAAGGCTAAACAAATGCCGCTAATATCGCTCAAGCTCCAAGCATCCGTCACATCAGATCGGTGACTTACTTATCTTCCAACTAACCGCGGTCTGCTAACGGTCGCGGGTCAGAGGGACTCAACAGCCCGCCAAACATTAAAATTTGCCGGTAATAAACCGATTTCATGGTGGCGGAAACAGCAAGAACTTAATGTTGAAGGCAATGGTGAACTAACCTGTCGGTCGCCAAAGAGCACCGAAGAGAAGCAGCAGCCACTGGCTGGACATACCGCACACCATACTGCAGCACCTGTCAAAGGATATAGTCGGGATGAAATGGGCAGAAGGTTGCTTGGCACGCACCGCTTGAAGTTCTCAGTTGAAGGATTTATTCCCCTCGTTGGGAGGTTTCTCACAAAGTACCGCGGACGGACATTTCATCCACTTCATCGCTCTGTTCGTCCCAATACTTACATTGCCAGCTATTTCAAAGCACTTCTGATGTGCAGGTTCAAGCCGTAAAGCGGAATATGGCAAACAGTAGGCATCTCCTTCCAGAAGCAAGCTACGACTAAAACGGGATGCTATCCTATCGTCTTCGACACTTCCCCCGTCACTAGCGCTCAGACACCTATGTTCCTCGCACGCCTGTTGACAGCGTCCGTTCTCACCCGAGTTATACGCGCGACCACCGGACTGTAAGCGGCCGCTCCCTCTGCCACGCCACTAGAGCAGGGCCTCAGGCGACCGTGACCGGCAAGCGAGCCGGGGCAGCCTATCACTGCCGTCCGAAGAGGCCACAGCGCCGGCGGCGTCGCCGGACGCAGGCGCGGCCCAAACGCCCGCCCGCAGGTGCGCCGGGAGGTCACGTGACTAACAGGGACGGGGAGGGAGGGCATTCCCACGCCATGGCACCGTGCGGTCGGCTGGCGTGGCGTGGACTGACACGCGACTTTTGTTCTTGATTAGAAAGAGGCAATCGCACATAAGCGGTTGCTCGTACTCGTTACCGAGGAAACGTTAGTGCCGATAGACAACAGTGCTGCCAAACGTTCACATTCGCAGCCGATAAAGGGAGCGTTTTACATTTGTGTGGAGTTTTGAACTCACATGGTCATACTGAAGATAATTCGTCACACTTCACAACCCTGCTCTTCTTAAAACCTAGACCTCTCTAGCTTTTGAGCTATGCGCCCGCGAAAATGTGCGGACTGTTTCGGGGACACCATCAGCCATGAGGCATCCATGACGCCATAATAACGTCATTCAAACTCTGCCATTCCATTGGCCATGCGGAGACCAAGGCCGAGAAAACACAATTGATGAGCCATTTGTATGTGGTGTTAGTGGGCACGACTTCCAGATATTACGGCTGTCAATTGGCTCTCAATCAACGAACGTTGTGAAAAGTGCGATTACGCATTTAGGCAACGATATGTTGAGCGCCATATCTACTAAACAGAGAAACTGTGCTGTCTAGAGCAGTGTTTTCCAATTAAATGTACACCAATAGTTATAAGTGAGCTTATTTCATCATATCTCATGCCTGCTTTGATATCTTCAAATGTGGAACATTCCCTTTAAAGGTGGGAGGCTGGTATTCTCCAATTCCCATGGCCGTGGAAGGTCATGTCCACTAACTTAAATGCTCCTAAACCTCAGGTTTTAAAGGCATGCGCATTTTTAAAGGGATTATTCCACATTTGTGTGCGTTCTTTTGTACTGAGTGGTCATTTTTAAGACCATCTCCTGCAGTTCACAGTCATGTCCTTCGTCAGGCTTTCAACTCTCTTATTTCTAAGCTTGACGCATGCAAACTTGTGTAGCTTTTTTCGTGACGCCTATTTGAAAGTCACCCAGACATCTGTGACGCTATAGACACGCCCCGCGAATGTCCCAGCTCATTGTATCTTTGTGCTTACTGCCAAGAAAAATACGATCACTGAAATGCTCTTGTTTGCAATGATTCGGCACGAAGTGTCCCGATAGCGGAAGCCAGTTGGGTAGCAGTCAGATGAGCACCTGAATGCATGTCTCCACCACAAACCCTTGTTTGTGATATACAAACATTTGGACGTTATTGGAGCATCTACTCAAAGGAAATGTTCCAGATTTGAAGACACTGAAGCAAGAATGAAATATGATGGAGTAAGCTCACTTCTAACTATTGGTATACTTTTAAATGGAAGAGGCTGCCCCAGACAACACAATCCCTCCGTTTAGTAAATATGCTCCTCACTACATCGTCGTTTGGCTACGTCATCGTTTCTCGCACAGCATTGATTGCGAGCCAGTTGACGGTCTTTTTAGCTGTAAATCGTGCTTACGAATACCTAATATGAGCGACACGACATTTATGTTTTATTGGCCTTCATCGCCGCACGGCTAATGACATGGCAGGATTAAATGACGTTATCATATACTTGACATAGGTACTTGGTGGATTAAGCATGAAATAGATATCATTAAGACCACCAGCAAAATATTGCCAAACAGCTTTTAAGCTGACCTTTTAGTAAAGAAAATTAATTCTTGGTAAAACCCAAAGCTGTGCAGCTATGAGAATGCTTCAGCAAGCCGGGTTAGGTGCAAGTTTGTTATTACTTTATTAGTTATACATTATTGCTTTATTTGTTATTGGTTTATTAGTTTAGTTTTGCCGGTGCTGAAACATTTCTTTCGAACAATTACTTGCATAAGCATGCCAAAGGCTACACGGTCGCGTACGAAACAATTAATGATAGGCCATCCGGCTCTACTGTTCCACCACCAACTGCCGACTACGGAAAGCATTGAGCTACAGCAAGTGGCTGGGGTAATCCAAGAGCACTCTCACTAATGCCATCTTCAAGACCGCGACGGTAGAAATCGGGGTACTGTGGACCAACGAAGCGATCCCTGTTCATGGTCTAAAATGTGTGACAAAATTGATCGAGAGGGATTGATATCATCCCAACAGAGCTATCACCAAGAAATCAAAGAAAAAAGAAAGAGACACAGCAACGCCGCGACAACGAAATTTAAGAAGCTTCTCAATGTCGCAAAATGCAGGTGCAAGTCTCCGCGCGGCTCTCCATGCCCCATTGTTTACACAGTGTATCAGGAGGAGGCTGCTATGAAGGACCAGTGCAGGCACCGGAAGCTTACCCTGGGGTCATACGACCGGGATACAATTGTGACCAGGGAGGCTCACGAGTTGCGGAGGATAGCCAGACAACTCCAGGGGCGTCGTGGCTCGGCCGCCAGTGAGGCGGTGCCTGCTGCTGAACCTGAGTTGCTTTCCCCGCCGACTGCCGTGCCCTCGTCGCCTGCTGAGCCAGCGCTGGCTACTAGTGCTGACCCCGAGCCTGCTCCGGACCAAGCGGTCTCAGCGCTGGTGAGTCAGCCGAGAGCACGGATTCTTACGTTTCCGTACATGGTGGAAGGGGGAGACGACGCCGATTGTTCGTTCCGGTTGAGACCACTGTCACTGTAGATTATAACGTCAACGATCTGACTAACACCGCCCTGACGGTTGACAGCTACGGTCGCTCGAACCAGGCCGCTGCTGCTATCATCAACGCCTTTCAACAAGACAGCAGAGACGGACAGGCTACTTGAAATCAAATATCGCAGATCCTAAGAAGTGCTGCGCAAGAGACAGAGTGCAAAGGAGACGGCTCATTAAAAATTTGAAGCAATCCATAGGTCAGGTTTTACCATCCTCTACTCCGGCGGCCGCGAAGGCAGCAGCTACATGAGCCGCACGGAGGAAGACAAGTGCCGTCGAAAAACACGTGGTTGTTGTCACTCAGCCAGGCAGCCGCTACATGACTCATTTTACGTCCGAGTTCGGCCGCCCTGCACTTGTTCAACGAGTTACACTCCGTGAGCCCGCAGTGCGACAGTCGCATCAATGTGCCCGGCTGCGATCGCACAGCCGTTAACACCGAAACGATAGGCGACGTGTTCCGGCTGTTTGAGCTGGCCACCGAGTCACCCGTACACTGGTTTATCTGCCAGCTGCACGGCAACGAGCTGAACCTCCTCCATCTGCTGCTGAGCTTGGACGGCACGACCATGGGATCGAATTTTTCTGGACCCATCGGCAAGACCTGTGCCGGAGAGGTCTGGGAGAGGGACGTTGTGGCATTCAAGCCTAGGTCGGGGCACGTGCCAAACCTGCCGGTCGACCTGATTCAGCAGCTGAGCACCAACCAGCAGCTGTTGTACCTTCTGGCCTCCGGCGTTCAAAACGGCTCTGTCCGAAACGTGGCAGCCCAGCGGCGAATCCGGTCATCTACCATGTCAGGTAAGTACTAAAACGCGTTATCTTCGAATTTATGGCAATGAGTGTTTAAAGTTCATCAAATATTACTGTTAAGCATTTACTTATTATCATACCTTGTGCCGTAGTATGTCACCTCATTTGCTGATTGGTTCATGCCTACTAGCATATTTGTTGATGTGTATTCCCTCGCATTTAAGGACTCTGGATATCGGCATAATTACATACACTAAAGAGGCGTCTGCTCCTGGTTCTCATCTTTACCGAAACCTCCAACAACGCTCTCAAGGGCCTCGTCCAGTGCGTGGTCGGCCACTATCTGTCGGTATGGACCGCCATCCGGCAAAGCAGCGGATATACTTGTGCTAGAGCGGACTTGTGCCAGAGCATCGCGCTGCTCCGCGACCTGCCGCAGCACACATAGGCCACGGTGCAGCCAGTCCTCCAGCCTATCGGGTGCTGGGTCCGTCCGGGACGGCTGTTGCTGGACATGGTGTGAGATGAGAACTGCATGGTCCGCGAACAGGCGGTTCCGATCGCCGCGCCGCTCGTGAGCAGCAAACGAGGGTCTTCTTCAGCCCAGGGTCTTCGCCATCTCAGCGGGAAACTTCGAGGCCGTGAGGTACACCGAACTGATTCCCTGGCACAGACCAGTCACACAGCCTCTACTGCGAGACCTCAGCAATTGCGAGCTGCGGGACAAAGTGCAGGTACTGCTGGCCGTCTTGCCCTATCTGGTTCACACTAGGAGTGCGACGCAGCGCCACACTGATGAGGCGTCTATGATGAGGCTGCAGCTGGAGCTTCGGCAATATGTGGAGCCCAGCTGCGGAGGTATTTCTGCTACCGTGGGATCTCTGCCAGCACGCGTTTTGGGTTTCCGGTATGTGAGCAGCTGCTGTTTGGGTCGGTGCATCAAAGACACGGGCTCGGCAAGGAGCAAGATGTGCATGGGGTAACCGTACCGCCCCTCCCCCTCCCTACGTCCGTGGTACAGGCTGCAGAACTTGCTGTATATATT